CGCTCGCTGGCGCGCGACGCGTTCCTCATCCCACATGCGGCGCACTTCTTCAAGCTGCGCTTGCAGGTCACCCATGGCCTGGTCCATGAGTAGCTTCTCAAGGGTCCATTTTTCAATGTTCCGCGCCTCGTTCTCTTTCAGATGATGGATGTATTGCACGGCCCGAGACAAGATCGCGCCCTTCGCTTTCTCTCCTGATCCGTTGGGTACGATTCGCCCGAGCTCGTTGATCCCCTCGTTGATGTTCCCTCGTCTTCGACGCTCAACTTCTTTCTGTGTCGGCGGTCAGTACACAAATCAAACGCCGATTGCAGAGAACGCACGTGATTATCCTTCCGTTGTCTCGTCCATTCATCATTGGACATAGTCGCGCTCCGTCCGCCCCGCCGTCCACCTGAAGTCGGCTTGACGGGACCCACCTTTTCCTCGTCGTCTGCCGAAGGCACCCCGTTGGCAGACGGACCTTCTCCATCCGTCAGCGGCCCGTCGCCTTCTTGGCTATGCGGGCGGATCGCTGTGGCGGGCACAGGCATGGGAGCAGGGGGTGCCCCCGGGGCACCAGGTGGCGGATTCTGCAATGCTGCACTAGCGAGTTGACCCAAATCCGGTGGGCCTCGTGGATGAGTCGACGGACCAGGCTCACTCGGCATCTGTCCATGAGGATGGGGGTGAGGGTGCTGATGAGAATGAACGGGATGATGGTATGGAGGAGGGGGCTGGTGGTGTTGCATATGATGCGGAAAGCCCTGGGAGGCGGCGAGGTTCGAGAGTACCTCAGCAGCAGCAGAGTCTTTCTGATCGCCCTGTCAAAAATGTCAGTTCGTCAGTAAGAAATGAGGCAACCATAACGGCAAGGGATAGCATGGAAGACAAACAATTGGTATACGATCGCTCACTGACAATTACTAGGTGCTGCATCTGGTTCACTTTGACTGTGTGCACAGATGACAAGCCTGACATTAGGACTTGTGCTGTAGTACATTGCCTAATCACAGGTCAACACCAACAGCATTGGACAGGGAGTCCAAACGACCCCATTCCGTCGCAGCCCCGCGCATATTGCAAACTCGAAAGTCAGCAGCTACCCAGGATCATGACAGATGGGCGAGCACAGTCACGAGCGAGATGAAGCATGCTCGGCCGCGCACACTATTCCGAGAACGCGGATACAAACGTGACTGTCGCCAACGATCACGATCACGTGTGGGCATACATGGGTCGGTCGCGCGGACGCGCAGGCGCACACGGCGCGGAGGACACTATAAAGTACAGAGGACAGCTCAAGGCGAATGATGAACTCACTCTCTGCTGCATAAAGCCGGGGAGCCTGCTCAAGATAGCCATAACCTGGTCCTGACCCAACCCAGGTATGTTCTGGGGAATAGAGACGTCAGCAGAGAGCTGTGGCGGACCCTGCGCGCCAGATGAAGGTGGAGGGGCGCCGGATGGGACGTGGCCAAGAGAAGGATCATGCGGGGGAGGGGGGGCGGAGGCCATCGTCGGCGTCGAACTCGAACTGGCGGCGATGGCGGAAGTGGGTCTTGATGCGAAAGATCTCTCAATGAAGGCTTGGGGTGGGTATGAGACCGTACGAGGTCGGTGTCGTTATCGGCGAGAGAGGGGCCGTCGGCGTCGTCGGACGCGATGAGCGCAGCGGAGAGCGAGTTGATCACGGGGGGGAAAAGCAAGGTCACGACGCCGGTCACGAGGGCCGATATATAGGCCGCACGTGAGAATCATAAAAACAAGGACAAATAGATGTTCCGAGTATCGCGCCACCGCACGGACCATATCAACAAGTCTTTTCCCAAGCTGAATATATTCTCGATCACTACGACAAATAGCCTTTTGTGCATCCCAGCATCCTATCTCTAGTCTGAGGCTTGCTTTCAACTAGAATAATCTGGCAGCGGCAAATCATCCGAAGATTCTGGGTATATGGCCAGATCACATCAAGTCGACCGTTGAGCATACTACTCGAGGCAGACTGAAGAGGAGTCTTTGTTTGTGCGGCTATGATTGCTTGAATTGGTTACAGCTATCGAAAGAGCATGCGATTGTTGATGAGGCTGAAAATCTAAGTTTCAAATTGCCACCCAACTTACTTGCGGTAAGTCGCTGCTTTCATTACGATTTCAAAGCAGCAGTCCGTTGAGACGCGTGCGCTGCATAGCATACATTCGCTATAATGGCTAGGCGGCGTAAAGTCCAGGGATGGACGTTAGCGGCGTGTCGGTGAGTTACTACATACGTCAGACTAGTTGTGGAAGTGCACCACTCCAGAACTCGCAATTCGGCTTCTTGTGTTCTTCTGGAGTCTGTTCTTTGCCTTCTGGACGCTTGTGGCCTGCACCTAAGTATGCCGATGGCATGAGGCCAATGTTCCCACAGCTACTGAGCCATGCGATAGTAGTCTATCAGGAAGAATTGGGATCGGTTATTGCTCGGCCTGCATCTGTCCGCTATTGAGATGATGTTCATGATGCAAGTTGGTCGTCCCCCTCCGACACCGCACGAACACTGAGTAAAGTCTGTCTGTGCAACGGTCTATGTTGCGTGACCCGACTTGGGAGGAAGGAAGTGAGGGCTGCGGGTGTGGAGGAACTCGGAGGAGAGAGGTATCATGCGCAGCAGCAGCCTGTTGGATCATCGGATGGCGTTTATTTCTGCGCCTCCAGTCGTGTTCCGCAATGCGGCATGCACTATTTATGTATGACTCTCTGACCGCCTGCTGCATTTGCACCGCCCACATCAACTTGTCTGTCCCCTTCCTCGTCGCCCTACTCAGTCGCCGTCGTCGTCCCCTCTTGTCGCCCTAGAGTGCCTTAAACCTCGGCTAGATCAATCTCGATTACAGCCTCGCAACCAGCGCGTTAACTTGCACGCGCCTAACCGTCAAAGTTAGATATAAAGGCCGTCGACGCCTCAGCGGCAACATTCTCCGTCTTTCTGTTTATCACCACCTCTATTCTCTAATTCTCCTTCTACCATGAAGTCATCCTTACTCGCGGTTGCACTCTTTTCTCCCACTGTTCTTGCTTCATATAGCTTGGTCAAAGAGTATTCCGGATCTAACTTCTTCAATGGTTGGGTCTTCTACGGGAATTACGACAACACGACTGAGGGTGCGTCGGTCGCCCTGGATGATAAATAGTGAGAGTGTTAATGGAAGGTGTGTTTGATACACATTTGCACAGGTGATGTCGAATACGTGAACCAGACCGCTGCGATGAGCGACAAGCTCGCGTATGTCACCAGCGGCGGACAGGCCATCATCAAGGTAGACAACACCTCCCTCGTGCCGTACAACGACAAGCGCAATTCCGTGAGCGATTCCCTCGTTATCATCCCGTTCGGCTTTTGAAGCGGATCGCCCAGGTCCGTATTACAACGGAAGACTACTTCTCCGCCGGCAGCGTCATCCTCTTCGACGCAACTCACCTTCCGTACGGATGTTCCGTGCGTCCAACCTCCTCTTCCTGACGTTCCCCGTATGTTGAGCTACGACACAGGTGTGGCCCGGATTCTGGACCAAAGCCGCGAAGTGGCCTGAAGGCGGCGAGATTGACATCGTCGAGGGCATCAACGGCATGACGGCCAACCAGGTGGCTCTCCACAGTACTGCAGGGTGTAACTCGACAAGCACCGCGAATGCCACCGGCACGATTGGTAGCACAGATTGTTCAGCTGCCGCCGGGTGCACCTACGTACGCCCCTTGTATCTGAGTGCGCATGGCGTCCTGACGCTCCCTTTCGCCTGTGCAGTCGATCAACCAGGCGAACAGCTACGGCGCCGGGTTCGCCTCTGTGGGCGGAGGTGTCTACGCGACTCTCTTTGAAGACTCTGGTATCTCCATCTGGTTCTGGCAGGTCAGTTGTCCACTGTACACATTGGCGATACTTTAGAACTCAGTGTCCTACTCTTTTTGTACCGCTTTCATACCGCATGCCACCACAGCGCTCCTCGATCCCGTCTTCTGTCACCAGTGCGAACACATCCGTCGACACCTCCGACTGGGGCACGCCCGCTGCGTATTACCCTAGCTCATCGTGCGACATCACCCAATACTTCGAGCCCCAACAACTCGTGCTTGACATTACGCTCTGTGGTGATTGGTGCGCGTTGCTTCATATCCAGTTGTTGCCGCCAATTTCACGCTGACGGCGTTCGTCTCCGCTGTGTGACATTACAGGGCGGGCCTTACGTCGATCTACCCCGAGACGTGTCCCATCGATGGCGGTCTCCCGGCCAACGCATCCTCTTGCGTAAGTCATTTTTGATTGCGCGCCCACCATCGCCGCTTGCATAGGATGACTAACTCACCTGTGTCTCTCACCCAGTACCTCCAAAACGTAATCAACAGCGGCAACCAGACCGCCCTCTCTGAGGCGTACTTTGCGATTAACTATATCAAGACGTTCAACGCCAACGGTACCGTCGTCACACCCTCTGGCTCCTCATCCTCCGTGAACCCAACGAACACCGCGGCCACCGGTGGTGGCTCTAGTTCTGGCTCTTCGGGCAGTTCCGGCTCTTCGGGCGCGAAGACCACTGGTTCTTCTGGTGCGATCATGAGCCGCGAGGCCGGCATGGGCGCATTGGTTGCCAGCATTGCTGCGCTGTTCGCGTGGACTCTGCTCTGAGCGGTGTCTCCAGTCCGAGCGGTGGCAAGTGCGCCGTAAAAGCTCGTCATCTGGTATGAACGGACCTCGATGGGACTTTTCTTCATGCACGACGATATTTTACATCCCTTTCTCATTACTTCACGTCGGCAATGTACGGACCTTTTTTTCTCTTGCGCAGTCGGGCGGGTTGGCGCGTTGATCTGCCCTGAGTGTGCCGGCATACATTCCATGCTATACTTAGTGGACTAGACTGCTTACTATACCTGTACGCGTAGATGACCTATCTTGATAATTATTTGAGAATGTGTGTCGCGCAAGTGAGATCTGTTTGTTGAAAACCACATGTCGCTCGAAGCAGTGTCCAGCAAAGTATATACAAGCAATGAGATTGGTGTGCGCATTGGAGGTGGATGCACACTGGGTATAAAGGATGACTGGGGAGTACTCGGTAGATCATATGTGCGTAGATGGGGCAGGACATGTATAGCTCCCCTTGAATGTTCGCACCGACAAAAAACGTAAACGAAGGAGCACGATGACGAATGAAGCAATGATTCCGAAATATTACTACAATACCAAGAACTCGAAGATACCGCAAGATCGACCGCAGCCGTCTACCAGAATAGATCGTGAGACCACCGAGATGTAAGTAAATACTGATTCCTCCATGCAGATGAGATGCAATGCCGACCGACTCCCGCCATGACAAGTTGCGGATCGCCGCT